CTTATCAACATTAGTGTAGACACCCAAGACAAGCTGGGAGTAGTAGGTAATTATTCTGTCAAGGTAATTATTCTGTCAAGGAATGCATGGTACATGTGTTCTTGTTGCAACAAGGGCGGTCGGGTAGCCTAGTGGATAAAGCTTTCACTCGTCACGCCGAAGACCCGGGTTCGGTTCCTGACATGGGTACAATGTGTGAAGCCCATTTCTGGTGCCCCCCGCCGTGATATTGCTGGAATATTGCTAAAAGCGGCGTAAAACCTCACTCACTCTTGATGCAACAGCAATTTATTCGTAAATCGTCACTTCCCTTGATACCGGATTCCACATAACGTGCAACATCGACAGCTGTGGGATTGATGTTGTCAGATGGCTTTGTGAGATGGTCAAGTTCAACATGATTGGCACATTCGGAATGTGCTAGATCGTGGTTGACAGCCACTCATGCTCCCTTTCATGTATCAGGGGTTACCTTTTCAGAATTTTGCATATTTTAAGATTTTGTTGTGAACTAATATCTCATGTTGGATTCATGCCCTTTTACTGATTTATGAATATTATTGACTTGTTCGTATTCATAATAATGATCAGTGAGTTCAAAACTGTTACCTGATTACAGTGGAGTGCTGGCTTCCTTGATGGACCACGGCCAGATGCCTGGCTACCTGCGTTCACATACGGGCAATCTATTCTTCAGGGGTATTCAGCAACCCATGCTTGTCGTAAGAGGCAACTAACCGGATAGGGTGGTCAGGGTCGCTGACAGGATGATGCCAGTTATATAACGGCGTGTCAGTTTAATGTGGGAGGAAAGCTTAAGTGATGCAGGTCTCAGACGTTTACTACTTCGGTGAAATCCACGAGCACGGGTATGGTGCTGATAAACTTAGAAACATAATCGGGGCGAACCGGGATGTATATAATATATATAAAGGCAATAATCTTGGACGTGACGTTAAACCCCATTTCACCTCACCTATGCATAGCATTAATAAATATTCAGCTATATCACCGCGATCTATAATAACCGAGTTTGGAAGAAGTAAGCCAGCTGCTTCACCAAGCCTGACCACCCGTTCCATAAAGTTGCCTCGAACAACAAGCACAACATTTGTTATCGGTACAACAAAAAGAAGAGCGTCTGCCCGGAAAGTAGAAGGTCGGTGGTTCGATTCCCGGCCTCGTCATATGGTACTTGTTGTTACCCTGCCTGGCGCTTGGTATTAAGATGACAAAACAAGGACTGGTCGATTCGGAGTCAGTTTTATGTTTCTGAGTCGGGTATCCATGTTAAACTGCGGTATTATATCGCACACACACATTCACACGCGTGAAGTGACGTTAAGCCCTATTTTTCTACAAAACAACAAAAAGTCATTGGTATTAAATTTAAAGTTTGCATTTCAGATAGTAAAATCGCGCGATCGTAATATTTGTCACGTGTCATCTCTATTTGTGTCAGAACGTTGAAGACGGAACACGTAGACGTGAGCTAGCCATAAATGAACTTTTATCTACTCAGTTTGGATGACATGGAAATATACTTTAATAGTAGCACAAACACCAGGAAACGCCACTTTAGTAGTATGTCCTTTGTTGAGGACTTCAGACACATACGCCGGACTGACGGGCTGGGGTGGGGGAGTCCAGTGTATGTACCCCGCAGACTTCACAGTACAAGGAAGTTGGTTGGTTGGTTGTTTTGTTTCCTGTAGATAGGCGCACATACTGTTTGTTTGTTGTCTAGCGCCACACTCAGCAATATTCCAGCTATATGACGGCGGTCTGTAAATAATTGAGTCTGGACCAGACAATCCATCGATTGATATCATGAGCATCTATCCACGCAATTGGGATACGATGACATGCATCAACTAAGTCAGCGAGCCTGACCACCCGATCCCGTTAGTCGCCTCATACGACAAGTATAGTCGCCTTTTACGGCAAGCATGGGTTGCTGAAGACCTATTCTATCCCGGGTCTTACAGGGTCTACAAGGAAGTACATTACAGTATTTCAGATTGAGGCCGGGGTTACACTTAGCTATAAAATGTACATTTGCCTGTATTTGACTGTAACCTTTTTTTATGAAAGTCTAATGATGGTAATAGGGTCGGTGGTCGAATCCAGAGTGGTCAGCACCATGTCTGTGTTCGAGTAGTAAACGACTGACGTGCATTACTTCGGGCTTTCCTCCCACATCAAGCGGATGCGCCCTGCTATAACAGGAGTACTGTTTCAGGCGGCGGTAAGTCCAATTAACTCTCTTGATGGAAGTAATATTATTCACGGATGTGATATTCATTACTGTAATTTTTAATATCGTTCCTTATCACCTGAATTTTTTTTCACATTTCAGCTACACTTTAGCAGTGAACTATTTGAGATTCTCTATATGAAGTAATGGTCAGGACCAATCAAGTATAATTTGTATGATGTAAGTTCCCTTGTTCGCCCTGTGATGGGGTCGTATAAGGCGCGTCAATTCGCTTAGAAGAGTTGCGTCCCTTGGGTACGCCTGAAACCTATGACCATTGGCTCGACAGCCCCATACCCGTCCTCGTGGGTTTCTCCAAAGTGGTAAACGTCGGATGCCTGCATCACTTCGGGCTTTCCTCCCACGTTAAGATGACACGGCGTGATATAACTGGAAAACTGTTCAAAGCGGCGTTAACCCCGATCACACTGACTCACTCGGCCACTCACTCGCTCGCTCACTCACTCACTCACTCACTCTTTCACTCACTCACTCACCGACAACTAATAGCCTGCAGTGCATTGTTGGGAGATCGATAATGTGTGCGAGCTGATAAAACAGGATGTGATTTTATTGACGAATATTATTCACGGATAAGATATTCATTACTGTAATTTTTAATATCGTTCCTTATCACCTGAATTTTTTTTCACATTTCAGCTACACTTTAGCAGTGAACTATTTGAGATTCTCTATATGAAGATTGTTTCAAGGTTTAGACCTGAAATATTCCATACTCGACACCAAGGATGTCCTCCGACTACACCCCCATGACCCCATGACCCCATGGCGATTTTGTCATATAAGAGTAGTGAGTGAGTGAGTGAGTTGGGTTTAACGCCGCTTTTAACATTATTCCAGTTATATCGCGGCGTGTCAGCTTAATATGGGAGGAAAGCCCGAAGTGATGCAGGTCTAAGACGTTGACCACTTCGGATAAACCCACGAGCACGGGTATGGTGCTGACAAACCAGGAAACATAATTGGGGCGAACCTGGATTCAAACCCACAATCATAGGTTTCTTGCGTGCCCAAGGGACGCAACTCTGCACAGCGAATGGCGGCGCCTTACACGACTGGGCCACCCGTGTCCCCCATATTAGAGTAAATAACGCTGATCAGCCTCCTAACAACCCGTCTGTAGGACCCACGTCACCCCGTCACGGGTTCGATTCCCCAGTAGGTGCAGTAAGCACAGCTTATTTGTTGTGTGGTATGGTATGGGTGGTATTGCTGGTCTCTTGTTAAAGACGGCGGAACACCCAACTCATTCAAACGTTACCAACACTGGTGTGCTGTGTTGACACAAGATAAACTCGGAATGACATGGAGTATTTTTTAAGCGAATCACGATTAAATATGAATACAAAATAAAAGTACCCGGAAATGAAGACCGGAAATGAAGACAGCGAATGATATTAATCTGTTTATAATAATTTCAACAATTTAAATCAATGTCTCTAAAATATTCCCAGAATGTAGACTGTACCTCCATGACTTGTTCTGTAACTTGTTTCAAATTAAAGTTTAACACAGGTGGTCCAGTCGTGTAAGGCACAGGAATTCGTTATGCAGAGTTGTGTCCCTTAGGCGCGCCAGAAACCTAAGATCACGGATTTGAATCCCGGTTCGCCTGATTGTGGTGTTTGTTTTTTTCATACATCATTCACCTCTTCTTTCGTTTCACCGAACCGCTAAAACGTGCATCGCTCCGGGTTTCCTCCCCCACATGGTGTTAAACCAAACACAGGGACTCAAACCTGGCTAACTTAACAGTGACATGACGCTTTTTCTTCGAACGGGAGACAAACCTTCACAATCAAGAATATAAAGTTTCATCCCTCTATCAGTTTTTTATTCGTTTTATTCGGCATTCCCGAATGTACCAACTGCTTCACGAACAGCTGCAGCTCTTCAGTGTATCCTAAAACCATTGAGGAGAGGTGAGGTGAGGTGAGATGAGGTGAGGTGAAATTGGGTTTAACGTCGCGTCCAAGATTATTGCACTTATATAGCGACGTGCATGCAAGTGTGCGTGTGGCTGTTTGTACTAGTCCGGACTGATGCCGATTTATAGTGCTAGCACACTGAGATACCATGCCGCAGTTTAACATGAATAACCCACTCAGACACAGTAAACTGACTCCGAGCCGACCAGTCCTTGTTCTAGCCCCCTAATGTCGAGCGCCACACAGGGTAACAACCAGTACCATATTTTAACGTCTTTTGATATGACTCGGCCGGGGATCGAACCCCGGACCTCACTCACTCGACCACTCACTCACTCACTCACTCACTCACTCACTCACTCACTCACTCACCCACCCACCCACTTACTCGACCACTCACTCACTCACTCACCCACCCATCCTGCCACCCACTCATTCACTCACTCGACCACTCACTCACTCACTCACTCACTCGACCACTCACTCACCCACTCACTCACTCGACCACTCACTCGACCACTCACTCACTCACTCACCCACCCACCCTGCCACCCTGCCACCTACTCACTCACTCACTCACTCACTCACTCACTCACTCGACCACTCACTCACTCACTCACTCACTCACTCACTCACCCACCCACCCACCCACTCACTCACTCGACCACTCACTCACTCCAGTACCGTTGATGAGGAACACACAATTATCTGACAATTACATATGCATTGTGTCCGTACATGGGTGGAGAGGTCAGAGGGCGTCCGCAACAACCAGGAAGATCATCCCAGTTTCCCTTCCAAATCATATTTAATTAGTTCAGACTCAAGTGTCAGCGTGTCCGTCTGTCCGGGTGTGGTTGATCCTTTGACAAAACAGGTATGTACTTTGTACACTTGTCACTTCCAATGTTACTTGGTCAGTTGGTTCATAACGAATTCTCACACATGACTGTATAGATGAATGAATTTAAAAAAAGGTGTTTCTTATGTCTAGATATGTTATGCTTTATTGAAAATTGAAATATCCAATTAGTTTTCATAATGAAACTATTAAAAAAGTCTTCCTATGTTGCTTCAATAATTATATCTCTATTAATATTCAACGTAGATAGAAAGCGTCCACGCCAGAGACAACAGTTGGGCCACATTAAAGCGGTGCCCCAAAGCAACATACGTTTAACCCGTACTGAGGCAGCACAAACAAAAAGACAATGAGTAGATATTTCCAGAGAGTAATACGCTCTATTGATACTGTTTTTATTGCATGGTATTAGTCACATATACTGAGGGGCAAAACAAAGTATACCGATTTTTTTATGTAATGAAAACTGAAACAACTGTATATAGTGACGTGAGCTGTTTCCATTGGTATGTTGACATTAACACAAATGTGCACGTCTACTCACCCCTTCTTCTCTCCCTACCCCCCCCCCCCCCCCCTCTCTCTCTATCTCTCTTATATATAAGGTATCTCCATGTGTCTGTTTACGCACATCATTAACACTTACTACAGAGTGTTCTCTCTATCGCGCTCTCTATCTCTATCTCCTTTCTCTCTCTCTTTCTCTCTTTTTTTCTCTCTCTTTCTCCCTCTAACTCTCTTTCCCCTCTATCTCACTCCCTCTCTCTTTTCTCTCTCAGTCTCTCTCTCCCTCTCTATTTTTATTATCTCTCTCTCCCTCTCTCTCATTCTCTCTCTCTTTTCTCTCTGTCTCTCTCTCCCTCTCTATTTGTTTTTCTCTCTCTCACTCTCTCTTTCTCCCTCTCTTGCTCTCGCTGCAAGTCTCTCTCCGAGGGGCTCAAACAAAATACACTGTCTTTTGCAAACAACCGACCTGAGATACAGGTGCGGCTTGAAGGAAACAGTCCTATGTACCAATAGTCTTGGCTACATACCATGCGTAACTCGTGCCACATGTACTTCCTTACGAAACTTAAAACTATTGTTACATGCTGATTCCCAAGTTGTCACGCGATGGTTAGCCCGGCAATCGAACTACAGAACTGAATGTGAGTCAGCGAGTACTCGCAACAGATCAATATGTAAATAAAAAAATTATATTGAAACACACAGGATTAAGTTTACAATGGGTAAACTATGTGCGTGTACTCACTGACTATAAAAGTCCAGTTTCCACCCCTGCCGAACTAAGCTGGTATTATGGAGTTACATTTTGGCTGGACTAACGAGTCTATGCATAGTCCAATCAAAATCGCGCCCTGAAATCGAAATCCGGGCCGTAAAGTGTCATGCAGATTTCGGTCGACTGCAGGATTTGCAAAGCATGTGCACCTCTAACTCGTTGTCAACAGATATTTTCTAAATCTTTTCATGCTTTTAATCAAGGTGCTCACGTGATTGGATGCACTTCGCGATGTGAGACTCGTTTTATCACAATATAGATCTTGATTATCGATCAGATCGTCTTGACTGGGCGCCACCGTTTTGTTTGAAGCAAATGCAAGTGATACGAGAGGTTGAATCTGATTGGTCAATAGAGGGGCATAGAAAGGACTTATAACTGGTAACAGCCACTGGTGGCGCTACGATCGAGCCCAGGAATTCCAGCCTAGTTCGGCAAGGGTGGAAACTGGACTTTTAAAGTCAGTTTACTCTCCTGCCTCGGGAGGATGGTCCGCACTTGGGCAAGTACATAAGACGACAGTCATTACGTGAAAGGTCTCGAAGTGCCCTCGTGTCGCTCTTGTGTAGGCACAGCCAGCCTTCTAGGAACTGTAACCTCCCGACACGTCTCGCACCTGCCAATAATGAAAGCCCATCACCACCGATATTTCACTTATTACGAGCGCTTCAAATTAGTCCCCCTTAGCCGTTTTAACATGACTTCCCCAGTGCATCAAAAACAGTATTCCGACTCCGTACCGACCGATGCTTGTTTTACCCCCTAGTGGGAAAAGTGATTTGGATTTTGTTGCAAATATCAATTTTCCTAATATGTAGTCAATTTGCGAGGGAAAAAATTCATAATATTCGTAGAACGTATTAAGATATCCGTAATCGGCTTCCAAATTGAACCTATTTAGGGGCGTGGCCTGAAGCTACCGGCGTTGCGTTGACAAGTGCTTTCATTGGTTTCGTTTGCAGCGTTTATCTATCTTGTGTTTGTTTGTTTGTTTTGTTTATTGTTTAATGTCGCACTCAGCAATATTCCAGCTAAATGACGGCGGTCTGTAAATAATTGAGTCTGGACCATCAATCCAGTGATTGACATCATAAGGATCGATCTACGCAGTTGACATGCATAAAGTCAGCGAGCCTGAAACCCGATCCCTTTTGTTGCCTCTTACGACAAACATGCCTTTGACGGCAAGTGTGGGTTTCTGAAGACCTATTCTACCCCGGATCTTCACGGGTCCTGTAGCTGGTAAAACATCTAATCTCTATACCAAGCAGTCCCGTCTGGAGCATAACTATATTTTTGAAGTAGGTTTACCGTACCCTGGTTGTTCCGTCGTAGTGAGTCCAGTGCCGTATCTCACACCTCTCATGATTTACCCTTGCAGAGGAAGCGAACTGTCTTTGTGTGGAAATCCTTCAAAGTCTGTATGGCGGGCATATCGAAACCAGCTGACCCCGGACAAGAGCAGCCACCGCCTTATTGCCCCACATCTCCCGGGGGTACGGCGCCCCCCCCCCCCCACAGGGCTACGCGGCGCCTCCCCCACAGGGCTACGCGGCACCCCCTCAAGGATATGCCGCACCCCCGGGACAGGGATACCCTCCTCAGCCGTATCCATATACACCACCCCCGGTAATTGAACTATCTCAAAATCTGATGAAGACCTTCTTCATATGAAACCTTTTAGAGTATATATATATCGTTTTACATTATCTTACTGACACTGACATCAAACTATTAAGCCGGAGCTTAAATCAATACATCTGGCCGACACTCATATTCTACACATCAAGCGCATACTTGTACCAACATTCTATATACCAGGCGGACACTTGTACCCACATTCTATATACCAGGCAGACACTTGTACCCACATTATATATACAACGCGATCACTTGTACCCACATTCTATATACCAGGCAGACACTTGTACCCACATTCTATATACCAAGCAGACACCTGTACCCACATTCTATATACCAAGCGGACACTTGTACCCACATTCTATATACCAAGCGCACACTTGTACTCACATTCTATATATCAAGCGCATACTTGTACCCACATTCTATATACCAGGCAGACACCTGTACCCACATTCTATATACCAGGCAGACACTTGTACCCACATTCTATATACCAGGCAGACACTTGTACCCACATTCTATATACCAGGCAGACACCTGTACCCACATTCTATATACCAGGCAGACACTTGTACCCACATTCTATATACCAAGCAGACACTTGTACCCACATTCTATATACCAAGCAGACACTTGTACCCACATTCTATATACCAAGCGGACACTTGTACCCACATTCTATATACCAGGCAGACACTTGTACCCACATTCTATATACCAAGCAGACACTTGTACCCACATTCTATATACCAAGCGGACACTTGTACCCACATTCTATATACCAGGCAGACACTTGTACCCACATTCTATATACCAAGCGGACACTTGTACCCACATTCTATATACCAAGCAGACACTTGTACCCACATTCTATATACCAGGCAGACACTTGTACCCACATTCTATATACCAGGCAGACACTTGTACCCACATTCTATATACCAGGCAGACACTTGTACCCACATTCTATATACAACGCGATCACTTGTACCCACATTCTATATACCAGGCAGACACTTGTACCCACATTCTATATACCAGGCAGACACTTGTACCCACATTCTATATACCAAGCAGACACTTGTACCCACATTCTATATACCAAGCAGACACTTGTACCCACATTCTATATACCAAGCAGACACTTGTACCCACATTCTATATACCAAGCAGACACCTGTACCCACATTCTATATACCAAGCAGACACCTGTACCCACATTCTATATACCAAGCAGACACCTGTACCCACATTCTATATACCAAGCAGACACTTGTACCCACATTCTATATACCAGGCAGACACTTGTACCCACATTCTATATACCAGGCAGACACTTGTACCCACATTCTATATACCAAGCAGACACCTGTACCCACATTCTATATACCAAGCAGACACTTGTACCCACATTCTATATACCAGGCAGACACTAGTACCCACATTCTATATACCAAGCAGACACTTGTACCCACATTCTATATACCAGGCAGACACTTGTACCCACATTCTATATACCAGGCAGACACTAGTACCCACATTCTATATACCAGGCAGACACTTGTACCCACATTCTATATACCAGGCAGACACTAGTACCCACATTTTATATACCAGGCAGACACTTGTACCCATATTCTATATACCAAGCAGACACTTGTACCCACATTCTATATACCAAGCGGACACTTGTACCCACATTCTATATACCAAGCAGACACTTGTACCCACATTCTATATACAACGCGATCACTTGTACCCACATTCTATATACAACGCGATCACTTGTACCCACATTCTATATACCAAGCAGACACTTGTACCCACATTTTATATACCAAGCAGACACTTGTACCCACATTCTATATACCAAGCAGACACTTGTACCCACATTCTATATACCAAGCAGACACTTGTACCCACATTCTATATACCAGGAAGACACTTGTACCCACATTCTATATACCAAGCAGACACTTGTACCCATATTCTATATACCAAGCAGTCACTTGTACCCACATTCTATATACCAAGCAGACACCTGTACCCACATTCTATATACCAGGCAGACACTTGTACCCACATTCTATATACCAGGCAGACACTAGTACCCACATTCTATATACCAAGCAGACACTTGTACCCACATTCTATATACCAAGCAGACACTTGTACCCACATTCTATATACCAAGCAGACACCTGTACCCACATTCTATATACCAGGCAGACACTTGTACCCATATTCTATATACCAAGCAGACACTTGTACCCACATTCTATATACCAGGCAGACACTTGTACCCACATTCTATATACCAAGCAGACACTTGTACCCACATTCTATATACCAGGCAGACACTTGTACCCACATTCTATATACCAAGCAGACACTTGTACCCATATTCTATATACCAAGGAGACACTTGTACCCACATTCTATATACCAGGCAGACACTTGTACCCACATTCTATATACCAAGCAGACACTTGTACCCATATTCTATATACCAAGCAGACACTTGTACCCACATTCTATATACCAGGCAGACACTTGTACCCACATTCTATATACCAGGCAGACACTTGTACCCACATTCTATATACCAAGCAGACACTTGTACCCACATTCTATATACCAGGCAGACACTTGTACCCATATTCTATATACCAAGCAGACATTTGTACCCACATTCTATATACCAGGCAGACACTTGTACCCACATTCTATATACCAAGCAGACACCTGTACCCACATTCTATATACCAGGCAGACACTTGTACCCACATTCTATATACCAAGCAGACACTTGTACCCACATTCTATATACCAGGTAGACACTTGTACCCACATTCTATATACCAAGCAGACACTTGTACCCACATTCTATATACCAGGCAGACATTTGTACCCACATTCTATATACCAGGCAGACACTTGTACCCACATTTTATATACCAAGCAGACACTTGTACCCACATTCTATATACCAGGCAGACACTTGTACCCACATTCTATATACCAAGCAGACACTTGTACCCACATTCTATATACCAGGTAGACACTTGTACCCACATTCTATATACCAAGCAGACACTTGTACCCACATTCTATATACCAGGCAGACACTTGTACCCATATTCTATATACCAAGCAGACACTTGTACCCACATTCTATATACCAGGCAGACACTTGTACCCACATTCTATATACCAAGCAGACACCTGTACCCACATTCTATATACCAGGCAGACACTAGTACCCACATTCTATATACCAAGCAGTCACTTGTACCCACATTCTATATACCAAGCAGACACTTGTACCCACATTCTATATACCAGGCAGACACTTGTACCCACATTCTATATACCAAGCGGACACTTGTACCCACATTCTATATACCAAGCAGACACTTGTACCCACATTCTATATACAACGCGATCACTTGTACCCACATTCTATATACAACGCGATCACTTGTACCCACATTCTATATACCAAGCAGACACTTGTACCCACATTTTATATACCAAGCAGACACTTGTACCCACATTCTATATACCAAGCAGACACTTGTACCCACATTCTATATACCAAGCAGACACTTGTACCCACATTCTATATACCAGGCAGACACTTGTACCCACATTCTATATACCAAGCAGACACTTGTACCCATATTCTATATACCAAGCAGTCACTTGTACCCACATTCTATATACCAAGCAGACACCTGTACCCACATTCTATATACCAGGCAGACACTTGTACCCACATTCTATATACCAGGCAGACACTAGTACCCACATTCTATATACCAAGCAGACACTTGTACCCACATTCTATATACCAAGCAGACACTTGTACCCACATTCTATATACCAAGCAGACACCTGTACCCACATTCTATATACCAGGCAGACACTTGTACCCATATTCTATATACCAAGCAGACACTTGTACCCACATTCTATATACCAGGCAGACACTTGTACCCACATTCTATATACCAAGCAGACACTTGTACCCACATTCTATATACCAGGCAGACACTAGTACCCACATTCTATATACCAAGCAGACACTTGTACCCATATTCTATATACCAAGGAGACACTTGTACCCACATTCTATATACCAGGCAGACACTAGTACCCACATTCTATATACCAAGCAGACACTTGTACCCATATTCTATATACCAAGCAGACACTTGTACCCACATTCTATATACCAGGCAGACACTTGTACCCACATTCTATATACCAGGCAGACACTTGTACCCACATTCTATATACCAAGCAGACACTTGTACCCACATTCTATATACCAGGCAGACACTTGTACCCATATTCTATATACCAAGCAGACATTTGTACCCACATTCTATATACCAGGCAGACACTTGTACCCACATTCTATATACCAAGCAGACACTTGTACCCACATTCTATATACCAGGCAGACACTTGTACCCACATTCTATATACCAAGCAGACACTTGTACCCACATTCTATATACCAGGTAGACACTTGTACCCACATTCTATATACCAAGCAGACACTTGTACCCACATTCTATATACCAGGCAGACATTTGTACCCACATTCTATATACCAGGCAGACACTTGTACCCACATTTTATATACCAAGCAGACACTTGTACCCACATTCTATATACCAGGCAGACACTTGTACCCACATTCTATATACCAAGCAGACACTTGTACCCACATTCTATATACCAGGTAGACACTTGTACCCACATTCTATATACCAAGCAGACACTTGTACCCACATTCTATATACCAGGCAGACACTTGTACCCATATTCTATATACCAAGCAGACACTTGTACCCACATTCTATATACCAGGCAGACACTTGTACCCACATTCTATATACCAAGCAGACACCTGTACCCACATTCTATATACCAGGCAGACACTAGTACCCACATTCTATATACCAAGCAGTCACTTGTACCCACATTCTATATACCAAGCAGACACTTGTACCCACATTCTATATACCAGGCAGACACTTGTACCCACATTCTATATACCAAGCAGACACTTGTACCCACATTCTATATACCAAGCAGACACTTGTACCCACATTCTATATACCAGGCAGACACTTGTACCTACATTCTATATACCAGGCAGACACTTGTACCCACATTCTATATACCAAGCAGACACTTGTACCCACATTCTATATACCAAGCAGACACTTGTACCCACATTCTATATACCAGGCAGACACTTGTACCCACATTCTATATACCAAGCAGACACCTGTACCCACATTCTATATACCAGGCAGACACTAGTACCCACATTCTATATACCAGGCAGACACTAGTACCCACATTCTATATACCAAGCAGTCACTTGTACCCACATTCTATATACCAAGCAGACACTTGTACCCACATTCTATATACCAGGCAGACACTTGTACCCACATTCTATATACCAAGCAGACACTTGTACCCACATTCTATATACCAAGCAGACACTTGTACCCACATTCTATATTCCAGGCAGACACTTGTACCTACATTCTATATACCAGGCAGACACTTGTACCCACATTCTATATACCAAGCAGACACTTGTACCCACATTCTATATACCAAGCAGACACCTGTACCCACATTCTATATACCAGGCAGACACTAGTACCCACATTCTATATACAACGCGATCACTTGTACCCACATTCTATATACCAGGTAGACACTTGTACCCACATTCTATATACCAAGCAGACACCTGTACCCACATTCTATATACCAAGCGGACACTTGTACCCACATTCTATATACCAGGCAGACACTTGTACCCACATTCTATATACCAAGCAGACACTTGTACCCACATTCTATATACCAGGCAGACACTTGTACCCACATTCTATATACCAGGCAGACACTTGTACCCTCATTCTATATACCAAACAGACACTTGTACCCACATTCTATATACCAAGCAGACACCTGTACCCACATTCTATATACCAAGCAGACACTTGTACCCACATTCTATATACCAGGCAGACACCTGTACCCACATTCTATATACCAGGCAGACACTTGTACCCACATTCTATATACCAAGCGGACACCTGTACCCACATTCTATATACCAGGCAGACACCTGTACCCACATTCTATATACCAAGCAGACACTTGTACCCACATTCTATATACCAGGTGGACACTTGTACCCACATTCTATATACCAGGCAGACACTTGTACCCACATTCTATATACCAAGCAGACACCTGTACCCACATTCTATATACCAGGCAGACACCTGTACCCACATTCTATATACCAAGCAGACACTTGTACCCACATTCTATATACCAGCCAGAAACTTGTACCCTTATTCTTTATTTCAAGCGGACACTTGTCTGTATAGTGTGTTTAAAGAGGGTGGTGTCAGCACATGCTATTGCCAGTCCCGTCACAGGATGTCATGTTTGGGCCATAAAGGACATTGTAGCATCAACTTTACTAGCCACAACGATCTGGGGCATCCTGCACCTCCATACCTAAGTCGCGTAGAAATCTTGTCTATATCACACACAATTAAATGTCCACCAATGTTATGATTACCACGTCTTGAAACGTTTCCATGGCCAAGATAGCAGAGGCGCATAACCTTCTCCAGGCGTATGCATGAAAGAATGTGCTAACCTATCGTTATCAATGTACCATGGAGATGTTTTTGTGATATTTCATACATCCCGTTGCAGCAGCAGCAACAGTCGAACACCAACGTCGTTGTGGTAGGTGGCGCTGCCCCCGCGGCCCAGACTGTGGCTGTTAAGCAGATGTCGTAAGTATGACGACCGCAAACCCGCCTTGACATTACAGATTTAGATTGTCACAACAAAGAGTTCGATTCTTTTCATTGGTACATTAAAGGCAATCATCGAACGGTCATTACAATCGCTGCATAATACCAAAACGAAGACCGCCTCCGTGGTCTAGTGGTAGAGCGTCCGCCCGAAGAACGCAAGGTCGGGGTTCTATTCCCGGCCACGTCGTACCAAAAGACGTTAAAAGATGGTACTTGTTGTTACCCTATCTGGCGCTCGGCATTGAGGGGCTAAAACAAGGACTGGTCGGCTCGGAGTCAGTATACTGTGTTTGAGTGGGGTATTTATGTTAAACTGCAGCATGGTATCTCAGTGAACTAGCAGTATAAATCGGCATCAGCCCGGACTAATACAAGCAGCCACACACTCACTATATATATAAGTGCAATAATCATGGACGCAACGTTAAACCCCATTTCACCTCACCTCACCAAAACGAGGATTACATTGGTTCTTTTTCAAAAAGTCACTTTTCTACTCAGAAATCCTAACAAGCAGTTACAACACATATGTGCTGAAAAGGAATTCCACTGTGACGTACTTACAGGTCACGTGTAACCTAAAGTCTTCCAGCCTTTAGGTATCCCTCAATACCTTCCTTTGATAAAAGTTCAGTCTCCAGTAGGAGTTCGGGACAAGACAGAATCCCAATAGGAACGTGTCTGTCCTATAATGTTGCAATGTGCGACCAAGCTGATTGTAGCGTTTCCCGCGTCGAGGATTGTTTCTCCTGTCGTCCACCAATGGATACTTGACCCAGATGGTAACACAGCTGAAATATTGCTGACTGTGACGTAAAACAATATTCACTTAATGTATGGGTGTTTGTTATTTTCCTTTCAATTCATTCCTGTTGTCTGTGCCGTTAATGCAGCAAATCTAGACGTAAAACTCAACGAACTCCCCGTAGCCCAGTGGTTAAAACGTTCGCTCGTCACTCCGAAGACCCGGGTTCGATTCCCGACATGGGTACAATGTGTGAAGCCCATTTCTGGAGTCCCCCGCCGTGATATTGCTGGAATATTGCTAAAAGCGGCGTAAAACTAACTCACTCACTGTGTTTATTACAGGTCAGTCAACCACTGCCTTCACTGTTGCATCTCCTTCTTCTTCTTCCCGTGGATATTTGTCTGGATTTGTCTGGTAGGCCGAAACCTGGGGACGTGGTTGTCTGTGTATTGTTGCATCCACAGGCGACCCGTGAATATCCGGGGTAGAATAGGTCTTCAGCAACCCATGCTTGCCTTAAAAAGCGATTAAGCTTGTCGCAAGAGGCGACTAACTGGATCGGGTGGTCAGGCTCGCTGACTTGGTTGATGCATGTCATCGTATCCCAATTGCATGGATCGATGCTCATGGTGTCAATCACTGGATTGTCTGGTCCAGACTCGATTATTTACATACCGCCGTCATATAGCTGGAATAGTGCTGAGTGCGGCGTTAAACAACAAGCAAATAAAAAACAAAAACAACCAAACAAACATAAATAGGATGTGCCGGGGCTTGCCTATTATGGGTTCGAATCCTAAATTCGTCCCGATTGCGATACTTAGCCTACGTGTGCTCGTGGGTATTGCACAGGCATATAGACCGGTGTCATGTCAAATCCCCCTTTACATATCAGGCTTACACACCCTGATGAAATAGAAATAGGTCGACATCGACCTGTACCCCTACACCTGCTGTCTCCAGGCTGTTTAATGCACAAAATAACAGTGTGGACACAACGCACAAACAGTTCACTGTTATATGTAGATATATATGTAGATATATAATGTCAACGCCGCAGAATAATCAGACTCGTATTTGCCGAAGAATATTCCATTGGGCGTAAAAGGCAAAATAGTGCTGAAAATTAGACGAAATGATCACTAAAAGTCAGTGATGACACCAGGTGTTCGCGAATATGGTAAGCATGTCCTACTTAGCCAGAAGCACCCGCCTCTCAAACAGTTCGCATAAAAACGCCGCGTCTCAGTACGCTTACCATGCGACGGCACGCTCAAAGATGGTATCAGATACTCCGTCGGGGGCTTGGTGGGGCGGTCGGGTAGCCTAGTGGTTAAAGCGTTCGCTCGTCACGCCGAAGACCCGGGTTCGATTCCCGACATGGGTACAATGTGTGAAGCCCATTTCTGGTGTCCTCCGCCGTGATATTGCTGGAATATTGTTAAAATCGGCGTAAAACCATACTCACTCACTCGGGGGCTTGGTTGAGGTGCTTAAACAGGTACTGTCAAGCCTCGGGGTCAGTATACTGTGTCCAAGTGAGGTATCCATGATAAACGGCAGCATGGTATCTCAGTGGGCTAGCACTATAAAACCGGCATAAGCCCGGATAGTACACATGCGTGCACGCACACACGAACGAACGAACGCCTTCACTCATAAACGTCAATGTACGTCGCTACATTACGAGAGCAAGGTGTGATTGCAAGTGTTGATTTTGTGTTTATTCTGTTTCAGTGCATCTGTAACGGGTGCTAGACGAGATCACACGAACTGCAGTGCCTTGTGGAGACGCGTAAACCAATATTCTCCAAATAATCAACTAAACATACGACAGAGGGGCATGCGTTATCGTCTAGGCTGTGACTCTACAATTCGCTGTGCAGAGTTGCGTCACTCGAACGTCCATTCGTTGTTTTGAATAATGTACCCTGCAGGTGACTGTCACTACACAATAAACGTCTACAACCTGTATCTCGTCCCCTTCCTCCTATATTAAGACTGCCTCCGTCAAATAACTAAAACACAAACTCACATACAAAGGGACGTAACCCAAAATTCCATCACCCACTCTTGCCAGTTGTGACATGAGAAAAAGAGAAAACCGGAATAAAATATTTAAATAAACATCTTTTGGTAAATAATGAGAAACCGGTAGCAAATTGTAGAAACACCATGAAAGGCGGGTTTGAAATGGGTTTGTGTTTCAATGATAATGCATGTATACCATATTTCTCGAGACACTTGCGAGATAAATTAAGTCCCTTGCTATGAAGATAAGTCATGTATAGTTAATACAGTTGTTTAAGTTGCTGAGACAGTTTACGTCAACTAATGATTAAGATACGAAAAATATAAACTTACATCAAATTGGTTAAAAAAGAAAGACCTTTAAACGAGCTATAATGTCAGTTACCATTATTCATTTCAGAACCAAATAATGCTTTCATGTCTTACTCGTTACAAACGCATGTAATGTGCCAATGCATTGTTCAAAAGACCGACAGTCACGCTGCCGAAGATTGAACACGAATGAACACGATTTAACGTTTTTCCTTAATCGTGTTAGAACGTATGAAGGTCGCGCAGTCATTCGTGTTCATTCGTGTTAAGTCGTGCAAAAATTTATCACACGATTTAAGCCGAGCTGAAAAGTCGTGTTCAGTCGTATGAAGATCGTATGACAGTCGTGTTCAATCGTACGAAGATCGTGTTCAGGCGTATGAAGATCGTGTTCAGTCGCGTTCAATCGTGTTGGGAAGTGTGGGAAGAAAGTCATACGACCTTCATACGTTTTAACACGATTCAACACGACTTTCATACGCCTTTCATACGACTCCCATACGCCTGAACACGAAATCCATACTTTTGTCATACGACCGGAAGAGCCAATCACGTGACTGAGTGAGAATTATGGGAAACCCCCTGAAAGTGAAAGCTCATTCTACAGCCATGCCAAACCTCAGGCGGCCGAAACGGAAGCTCCTCCAAGCAAAACGTTCGAAAGGGAATCATCCTTCACCACCAACCATGGATGAACATCCACCCGATACCCAGGGACAAGATGAGCCAGCTGAAACCTCTGAACCACCACCAAACTCTGCTTCTTGCGGGTCTTGTTCGTTGTTGAACATGGTGAAGACCGACACTTGCAATGCAGCTCATATACTACATGACCCACGGTACCAAAATAAACAAAAATATGTCGCATGAAGGTCTAGCTCAGTCGTATGAAGATCGTGTATATTTTTTTTTGGTAGTCGTATGGACATCGTAATGATTCGGGTTTCATCGTATGGCGATCGTGTTGATTCGTGTTAAGTCGTATGGGCGTCGTATTGGGGTTGTGTTTGGTCGTATGATAGTCGTATTGGGGTCGTGTTAAATGAGGTTTAATCGTGTTGTATCGGATGAATATCTTATGACGGTCGTATGAGAGTCGTGTTCTGTCGTATGAGGGTCGTATGAGGGTCGTATGAAGGTCGTATGAGGGTCGTGTTTGGTTAAGAAATTTGCATAAACCACAAGGTCGAGCACGAATCAACACGATTTTTTAACTTTTCTTAAATCGTGTTCGCAATTTCTTAAATCGTGTTTGTGAGATAGGGGCTTAGGAATTGTCTATACGTTGTTATACAATGCCCCTTTTTCCCAGCCTGTAAGCTACTCTATCCTAAAACACACACACAATTGTTATTTCGCGAAGACAATACTTTAAAACGCATATAGAGTGGACAAAACTGTCAGACTCATCCAAGTTGTCTTTTGTTTGCCATCGCACAACGCATACCAGTATGTACAGAAGACGCTGAACACTTCCAATCTGTTCGAGTCCTGGACTGCCCCGGACGAGACCAACTCCTTTGTTCCGTACCCTGTACAATACAGTGATGATACAAATAGTGTATATTTTGAAGCTTGGTAATGGTATTTCGCAATCTGTAACGAGGCTGTAAATGGCCTCAGCATTTCTGAGGAAAGATAATAGAGTACGCCTTATATGTGGAGGGGAACAGTAATATATATAATCATCATTCTGTATTTCAACTTCGATACAATTTTTTTTTACATTTTATTGTTTAATTTTTCAACTGTGCAGATTCATCCTTTTGATAAGCGCGAACTGTGTGGGGAATCCGGGTCAGGATAGAACCCAATTTTACGAATGCCTGCCGTAAGACCCGCCCATGATGGGGGTCCGCCTGTCAGAATCTGTGGCTGATTACCTGTTATATATTACCGCTAACGGTCGACCGCCTCCGTGGTCTAGTGGTAGAGCGTCCGCCCGGAGTGCGGAAGGTCCGGGGTTCGGTCTCCGACTTCAATATAAGACCAAGTCGCAGAATATCTTTTGCGCTTTTATTTTTCAATATAATCTCCATTCAACCCAATACACTTATTCCATTTTTCCTTCAAGCTTTTAATACCACTTTTATAGAAATCCGCAAATTGGCCCTCTAACCACGCCTCTGTGGCAGCCTTTATATTCTCGTCATCCTGGAAGCGTCTTCCACGTAGGGCAGATTTCATTTGCCGGAACAGGAAATAGTCACTGGGGGCTACGTCTGGGCTGTACAGTTCAATCACCCACCCTACAGCCCAGACTTAGCCCCCAGTGACTATTTCCTGTCTACCCGTTACAGCAAAGAGTTCGCACTTCATTTTGTCATGGTAGAATGGGGATAAACCTACTGTGTTTAAAGATTCGAGGTTTGTTTGTTGTTTAACGCCGCACTCAGCAATATTCCAGCTATCTGACTGACGTGAGCCGGCCATATATGAACTTTTATCTCCTCAGTTTGGATGACATGGAAATATACTTTAATAGTAGCACAAATACCAGGAAACGCCACTTTGGTGGTATGTCCTGTGTTGAGGACTTCCAACCAGACGCCGGACTGACGGGCTGGGGCGGGGGAGTCCAGTGTATGTACCCCGCAGACTTCACAGTACAAGGAAGTTGGTTGGTGGGTTGTTTTGTTTCCTGTAGATAGGCGCACATACTGTTTGTTTGTTGTCTAGCGCCACACTCAGCAATATTCCAGCTATATGACGGCGGTCTGTAAGTAATCGAGTCTGGACCAGACAATCCAGTGATTGACATCATGAACATCGCTCCACGCAATTGGGATACGATGACATGCATCAACCAAGTCCGCGAGCCTCACCACCCGATCTCGTTAGTCGCCTCTTTCGACAAGCATAGTCGCCTTTTTCAGCAAGCAAAGGTTGCTAAAGACCTATTCTACCTCGGATCTTCACGAGTATCACCTAAAACACTGGATTCCAAATCAAAATAAGAGTTATCTAATCAACTGTGAGACTACTTCAAATTTCAGAACACAGTAGTTGTCACGTGTTGTCACTCAAGACCTGTGTAATAGTTCATGGTTGATGTGTGAATCTATGTATAGAAGTGGTGCGTTAAACAATCAAAGAAAAGTTATTATGCAGGTATTTCTTATATCTTTTTAAACTACAAACAGCCTCATACCATTAAGAGCCGGGCGTCTTTTCAATTACATTTTTATATGACAAACGGGAATGTATGTTATACACTGTGATGTAAAGGTTATGTTTTGCCGCAGACATTGAGACTAAATGTAGTATGTTTTGTCTGCGAGACACTATTACGCGGAAAGGTTCAATGGCAGAACATTAGTTCCTTGACTCGAACATATATTCAGTTGATAAGTTCTCCAATATAATATTGTCAAAACTTATAGCTAAAATGGATAGAATTATCATTAAACCGCCCGCATGTTATCAGAAATGACCGGGCCACTGTAACTTGATAATGCCCTCATATTGCTTGACGACGGGCCATTATCACGCCCGTTGTTAGGTGACGTCATAGGATAGGGATAGGTGACGTCACTTTGAATAGTGACGTCATCTGGTTTGTTCTATGACGTTTCCATATTTGTAAAAGTAGGTCAGTGACATTCGTGTTGATTGCAGTAAATGTTTCAAAACCGATATTGTTGTTTCTTTTTATTTGATAACAAATTCCATCCATTTTAGCTATAATAACGGTAACGCTATTTTTCAGGGCATTATCATTTGCAGAAGCCTTCGGTCTTTTCAACTGCCCGACGAAGAAGACCTCGGGCTTCGGCAAATGATAATGCCCTGAAAAATAGCGTTACCCGTATAGGACTGAATAGCCGAATAGAGTGGAACCTTCGTATTTTAGTGTCTTGTCGATATATAATTTGTTCAAATCGAGATCAATTATTGACAAAATCAAAGCAAAGGTGTAATAGCACAGCAAATGAGACCCGAATGCAGCATTAATCAATTAGCACCAGTGGCCAAATGGTTTAAGGAGTCGGAACTCGCTGTGCAGAGTTACTTCCCTTGGTAGTAGCAGTATTCACTGATCATGGGTTTGAATAACATACTCGTACACGCCCTGATAATGACCCTTGTTTTGTGAGGCCTATTTCTGTGTTCGCAGCTTTCACCTTGGTCATATAAGACGACATCACTTCGGGCTTAGAACTTAACTACTGTTGAAAGCTCCGTGTAGCATAACCTACTCACTCACTGTGAATTCGTCAGTTTTAGCTTTAAATTCGACGACACATATTGTTTACATCGGTCGATCGGAATACCATCTTAGAAACGCATCAAAATGCACACGAAATTCTTATTAAATATACTTTTTGTATTGTGTTTTTCTGTGTACGTGTTATAAATTTATGTAATGTTAATCTTTCCACTGAATGTCATTGAATATAGATCTGAAGTTGACTATATCCCTACTATTTCATAATACAGTACTTTGATGCAAATAGACAAAGGCATGACCGAGACGAAAAATCCCGCTGTGTAATCCTCGACTGGACTTGATTTTCACCAATAATAACTTACGATGAAGATCATTCATAACGGTGGTCGACTGGAGGTTAACTCGTCTCGGGCGTGCAGTTATTTGGAACTAAATCATCAGTTTCAGGCTAATATTTATG